GGAAATGAGTAGAATAAAGATATACCATGTCTGGGGACCTAACAACCTCAAAGAATGTAAAGGTTATTTGCCATAAATATATGCTAAGATTAATTTCTATAAGAATGAAAATGGGGAAGGAAATGGGAATTAAAGGATGAGGACAGAAGCAGGGAGGGAAAGGTATTCAAAAAAACTAGGTTATATTATGTACACGTACCCCTCCCCCTCCCCACAATGATTGGAAACTGCATGTACTGCAAACATATACAAATGAAAAAGAATTGTATAGTTTAAAAAAAAGTTGTTTCATTTACAGGTAAACCAAACTGTGGTCTAACGTGAAATTAATAATGGCCAAAATTGGTACTGTATATGTTGACATATTCTTCGAATTAATTAATATTTAATAATAGCAGCCATCATTTGGTTTGGTGAAGAACTTTGGATGTATTACTTATTTAATCCTAATGACAGCCATAGGTCACAGCTGTTACTATCACTGTCCTCACTTTACAGGTGAAACTTAGGTGGAAGGGACAAATACCGTGTCTGCCAGGGTCAATATTTCAGCCTTAGCTATTGGATTCTGGGGTTTACATTCTTAACATTTTTATGGTACCCTTGGCCATCATTTTTTCAAGTAACTGCTATTTACTGAATTTAACACAGGCACATTTTACCAAAATTGCCCACAAATTTAATCCTTAGTATTAAATGGATAGGGTTCTGTGCTTAATAAGAATTTAATAAATGCCCAAAAAAGCACATTTTAAAACTTGAACTCATTAATAATCTGATAAATTAGGCAGTTTACCAACATGATTTTATCTTTTGATACTGTAACATGCAAGAGCATTTTAACTTCTACTAAATACATCAACAGAGAGAAACTGAAGGAAATTATTCAACTCCTGTAACTTCTATCTTACAGTTGCCAAGTGACTTCATTAATATAAATCAGATGATTCCTTTTGGAAAATGATACATTTTTCAATACTTTTAAATCAAGAATATTTACCTGATTGTTCTAAAATTCTTGGTTCAAGTTCATCCAATTGTAGAAGCTCATCAAGAGCTAATTTTGCTGCATTGGATCTAGACTCCTTTTTATTTTGTCCCAGTCCAGTCTTATATTGAATACCATCCACCACTGCACAGAAGGCAAAATATGGCCCCATCACATTACCTTGAAAAAGAACTCAGAATGACTGCGACAATAATTCACAGTATATTCTTGAAAACAATGTCTGTATATAGGAAAACATTCCAGAACAAAAATTCTGGAAAACAATTTACTCTAAAACACCAGTTTGTCTGTAGGTCCAACAGGGTTTGAAACCAAAGCTGGGTGGGGCCCTGTTCCAGTTCTGAG